GAGGATTCATCAGAGACAGAGTGGCGAGGAGAACAGCCAGATAGACAAAGTACATTGCTGAGGTGGGCAATGGATGAGACAGGAGAGATCTGTTGTGCCATGTGGGTTGTCTCCGTGTGCGGGATCAAATTTATGTTGAAGTGGCTGCGGCTAGCTTCATAATGCTGCATTTTAACCCATTGCACCACCAGGGAGGACCCAGGTGGTGCATAAAAATTCTTTATTTTGATGATATTCAGTATTATATATTATTTTTTATTGGTTGCTTGTACTTTTGATAATTATATCTAAGAAGCTCAATTCACAGTTGTAAAGATTTATACTTATATTTTCTTCTACAGTTTTTATTATTTTAGCTCTTGCATTTAGGTCTTTGAACTATTTGAAGTTCATTTGTATATATGATGTGAGGTATGGGTTAAAGTTAATTCTTCCACATGTGAATAACCCAATACCAATACCACTAATTAGAAAGACTATTCTTTTTTTATTTAATATGTTGTTACTCTTTTTGAAACTCCGTTGGTCATAGATATATGGAATAATATACAAAAATGTTTATGTTCCTTTGGTTTATGTGTCTGTGCTTATGTCGGTGACACACTGGTATAACTTCCAGATTTTGAAACTGGGAAGTGTGAGTCTTTTAACTTCACTCTTTTTTTAAAGAGTGTTTTGGCTATTTTCAGTCTTTTTAAACTCCAAATGAATTTTAGTATCTTGTCTACTCATAAAATGTCTATTGGAGTTTTATGCACTGATTTATAGGTAAATCAAGAAGAGATACTATCTTAAAGATAGTCTTCCAATCCATGAATATAGGCTATCTTTTCATTAATGAATTAATTTAAATTAATTATTTTTGTTAGTGTTTGTAGTTTCCAATGCACACTACTTGCATTTCTTTGGTTTAAATGTATTATTAAGTACTTTATTTCTCTGATTCTGTTGTCATTGGAATTATTTCAGTTCTTTATTCTTTGTTGAAAGTGTCTAAAAGCACAGTACAACTGATTTTCATATTACTGGTCTTATATTTTGCAACATTGCTGAACTCATTTTTACCTTACTTTCTTTCATTTTGTGGATTCCAGAGCTTCTATATGTAAGATCATGTCATTTGCAAATACAGTTTTTCATATGTTCTTTATTTTTATTGAGGTAATATTGGTTATACCAGAGCTTACCATATACAACTTAGTTTAATGCTTCAGACTTATACTGACTTATTTCCATCAAGGTAGACTGATTTTACTCATATTCATTTATTCTCTTTCTCCCTGTTTGTGGCATTAGTATACATAATAAGTCTATATTATGTTGAAAACCCAGTAAGACATTATTAAAGATGCTACTTACATAACTTTATGTAAGTATGTATTTATATCTTTTGTTATATTAATCTTTTTTTTTTTTATCATTTCTGGTCTGCCATAGATACAAGTTAGCATTGGGTAGTGCCACCTTATATCCTTAGCTGAACATAGATCTTTCTCTCATTCACTTCTATTGTGTAATTATTAGGAAACATGAGGGGGTGTTTTGGTGGTACAGGCCCAATGATATCACTACATATATCTTTTAGAATGTAATTTTAAAAATCATATTAGAGAGGAATGGAGAAGGAATATGTATTCATGCTGTCTTTTGATGACACAGTGTCCTAACCAGTGCTTTTTTCCTGAGTTGCTCTCTGGTCACTTGCTTTTCCCATGAAGGGTAAGTTTTCCTTTTGCCAAATCTGGTTCACTGTCTGTGTGTCGGGAAGAGCTCTTGGAGCATGCAGTTGCTCATTTGTGTTCTATGTGCGGTTGCCTTTGGCCCCCTCTGGCAGAGGTGGGGGGTGGTGGCAGGGATTGGATGGTCTCCATGGCCTAAAGTACTGACTTACCCTTCGTAGAAAAGTTTTTTCAGTCTCTGTTCATTGCTATATTTGTCTAACCTTCATTGTGAACGTATTTCAAACCACCACTTACCTCTATTTTTGCAAGATATTCGAGGCTTTTCGTGTTCGGAATAGCTTCTGCATTAATGTTTGATGTTGTAGTTTCCCTAACATGCTGACAATGTGAATTTCAACACTACACACATGCCTGGAAGAGTCTGCAAGACCTCACAAGTGATCTGTCTTTCATATCAAACGTCAGTGGACTTAAAGTTCTCTTTCTGCTTCTTTGGGTTTGTGATATGTTTTGAAGGTTGCAAGCATTATAAAGATGCTAGTGTTAGCTCTCTTCTGTGTGGATGCCAGATACTACATCCTGGCCCTGAGACTTTGAGAGCCATGCTGCCCAGCTGTGGCTTGCCTGTCTTAGGTATAGTCAGATTCTGCCACTAGCCCAGACTTTAACTTCCTGTTTTGAATCTCTGCTTTATTCCAGCATCTTACAATGAACTCCCTTTTCTCATAAAGTATGCTATGTGTTGAAATGCTGTGGGTGAATTTTAGTCCTGATTTTCTGTATATATGCTGAATTTTATTGAGAATGTCAAGCACATATTTTAATATTTTAGATTTGCTTTATACTGAACATATTTTTCAAAACTATGTTCTTTATTTGCATATCAAGTGTTAGTTTTTCATTATGTTTTATCTTCAATTTTTTTTTTCTTTTTGTGTATCCATAGAGGAGGAGCCAGCCATCTGGTCTGGCTTTAATATCCAGGCAAAACAATATGGATAGCTTCTCTTTAGTTTCAAATGTGTTTCAGCCTTTCACATAACAGTGCATACTGGAATAAACATTTAAGGCAACTTACACTACTGTTGAGCCAACATCCTGATGGTTGTAGGGAGTAAGACCTCACCAGAGGCCTTTGCTGGCATATCCTGTTCTTGGCCTTTATGCCTGGGTCCCTGCTTCTGTGGCCTTCTTTCTCCTGTGCCAGTTCTGCCATGTGAGTTTGAGGTTCTGACAATGCCCATCTCCTTTTGGTTGAAAACTTTGCAGCAGATAGCTTACATGATGCCAGCTTTCTGTGATAAACCCACTCCATGGCACACTGACGTACACGCACCGCACTCTCTGGCAGCTGAGGGGGAGCACGCCTGGGTGAGCCTTATACTGCCACGGGGCCCAGAGCTACTTTCAGAACTTTCCACTTTTAGGAAGGGACAGTTCAGTGGGAGTGCACCAAGGATTTGCCATTAATTACCAAGGCATGACAGGATACTAGTTTCTAGTTTAATTTCACTAACTTACTAACTGCTGGCACCATACCCAGGTTCTGTTGTTTTTGGCAAGTTCAGTTATTTCAGGGGTAATTTGTGACCAGGAGGTTTGAGATGGTAGCTAAATTTAGCTGTATGTTCAGAAGTGAAAGTGTTTATCAGATGTAAAATCGCAGCCAAGTGTTATGGAATTCTTATAGTAGTCCATTTTGTACTTTGACCTTTACATATAGTGGGTGCTCAATAAATGTTGTGTATATCTGAGCAAATTAATTAGTGTTATTCATGAAGCAGTAATATACTTACAGTGTATATGACATTTATTATAGAAAGCTGATGATGTAAAAAGTCTTTCTAAATGAAGATAACTCTCCTAACTTTGCTTCAGAATTATCTGTACATTTAAAAACAAGATTATTCTACATATTATAACAGTATGTTTATTTCAGTTAATTTATCATAAAAAATCCCTTTTGTTAAAATCTCTCCCATTGTTTTATAACATAAATTAAACTGTGTTTTAACTTTTCTGTTTCTTAAAGAGGGTGTAAAGATTAACATGTTTCCATAACTTCATGTCATTTCCATACTATGTTATAGTAAGTTATATCTCTGAACATTTTTATAAGGTATAGGAATTCAGTTTTTATACTCTTGCATGCGTATTTCCTCAACCCTTGGTGTAAATGCTTGCTGGTGAACTTATGCTAGTTTCTTGCAATTTCCCTGTCAAATTTTCCACATACAAGAAGTCTAACACTTAATGTCTAATCTTTTGATTTGTTATCTTAGTTGTACATTTCCTTCTACTATTGATTAGTTGTGTGATTTTGGGTAGTTGCTTCACAGTTTTAGAAATGGTAATAAAAATACTGCCTTCCATAGAGAATGTTGTGAAGATGAAATTTCGTAACCCATTTATGTCACCGAGTACACTGTTTACTATAGGTAAATTCTGACAGTGGTACAGAATTTGCACTGTTTAAAAATGATTACAATGTGAACATTGAGCAAACAGAAAAGATGCCAGCCACAGTTATGTGGAATGACCTGGGTAAGGTGAGAGACACCTCAATTAAGTTCTACCTTAGATGCAAAAGTGATGAAAACGATCATGGAGATAATAGTTATGGGCAGGTGGTTACCAAGTTATGTCACTATTAAGCCACAGGTAGGTACCTGACATGAAATTTATTTGCCATCTGATATTTTTAGAGTCTAAAGTAATGCTAATACCAAAATATATTACATTTCATATTTACATAAAAATCTTATGGTTTAAATCTAATTCTTTTCAGTTCATATTTTAGTAGAATATTAGTTAAATCTTGAATTTTTGTCTCGCCCAAAGAATATAAACATTTATGCAAATTATTTAGAAGTGCTATTTTTGTTGGTACAGAATTTTTTGTATTTATTCCTTTGCTATTATATGCAAGTATAATTAATACCCATTTTAACATTGTTTATTAAAGCTTTATTATTCAGTCTTGTATTTATGTACCATAGTAGACATAAAATGCACATGAATCTTTAAGTGATGAGTCCCTCCTTAGCTATAACTCCTATGTTTTCATTTTATCTCTAACCCCTGCATTTTATAGAGCATTAGGCAAAATTTCAACAGAGAATTTATTGTATATTTTCTCCTACATTAACATTTTGAGCCACACATATTATACATTTAACAAACTTTGGGAAATGTCTCTTGGACTTGGCTACCATGCAGACTTTCAAAATTAATTTTGTAGCTAGTATACTTGGTATTGTTATGTATACTTGGTATCGCTATGTAGATATTTATAATACTTTTTGCTATTTTCTTTAGCTTGCCAGTGTAACGGACATAGCACCTGCATCAATAATAATGTGTGCGAACAATGTAAGAATCTCACCACAGGGAAGCAATGTCAAGACTGCATGCCAGGTTATTATGGAGATCCAACCAATGGAGGACAGTGTACAGGTAACTACTTTTTTCTTTTACTTAGTGTATTTCCGCTAGGGAAAATGAAGTGGAGACATAGATGCCTCTTGTAGAAAATATAGCATATGAAAGTAATTTTTTCAGTGTCTCAGTCATTTTGGAAGATAATATATCTTTATTAGGGACTATGCGAACTATAATTTTTTTTTCACATTGCAGTTTACATACTGCTGCAACTTCTCATGTATTTAATACATAGTTCTTGTGTCTTATTTTGCTTACATGAACATGCATACTTTCCAACATATTTTTTTTTAAAGATTTATTTATTTATGGATACAGAACTGGGTACAGGCCAGAGGTGCAGGGATGGTGAGAGGATTCACCACACACAGAGGGGGGAGCAGAACAGGCAGTAACCCACTGGATTTTGTGAAATAATTTAACATATTCTTGTTGATATTTATATAATGCTTCTGACCATATCTGATTATAGAGCATTTTTAAAAATTAAGGTGATAAAATTTACACAAGTTAAAATGAACCATTTTAAGTTCATTTTAAGTTCACTGGCATTTAGTTCTTTCCATATGTGCAACCCTCACCTCTATCTGGTTTCAAAGCATTTTTATCACACCAAAGGGAAACTCCATATTGGATAAGCAGCCGTGGCTCCCAGCAACCACTAACCTGCTTTTTGTCCATGCGAATTGCCTTTCTCTGGATATTTCACACATGATGTCTTAGAGTGTGACCTTTTGTTACTTACTTCTTTATTTAGCACAATTTTTTTGTAATTCTTATAGCATTTACTGGCACTTCCTCCTTTTGTATGACTATATTTTATTCCATTAGATAGATACAACATATTTTTAAGATCCATTCATTGATGGACATTTTGCTTTTTGTCTGCATTTTGCCTACTGTGACCAGTGTTGCTATGAACATAACTATGCGGGTCTTTGGGTACCTGCTTTCTGTGTTTCGTATGTAGACCTAGGAGAGCAGTTGCTGGATCATGGGGTGATTGTATGTTTATCTTTTTTTAGATCTCTTCACTATGGAGTTACTATTTTTTTTTTTTAAAGATTTATTTATTTATACAGAACTGGGGTATAGTTCAGAGGCACAGGGGTGGTGAGAGGATTTACCAGAAACAGAGTGGGGAGCAGAACAGGCAGATCAACAAAGTACACTGCTGAGGGGAGCAGTGGGCGTGTCAGGAGAGGTCTGCTGCACCATGTGGGTCACCTCTGGGGCGGGGATCGAACTCATGCTGAAGTGGCCTTAGCTTCTTAGTGCTGTGCTTTAGCCCTCTGGGCCACCAGGGAGGGCCAGGGTTACTATTTTATCCCTTACTAAAAAAGTGTCTTGTGGGAGATACCTAGAGACTTTAGGCATACTATGTTACTTTGCAAATTTTTGCCCTCTCCTTTTATGCTCTTTACTCAAATATGATTTTCTGATTCCATCATTCTATATAAATTTGTCGATTTTCTTCTACAGTAGTTCTGTCTCTAGTTTTTCTGTGTATCCATCTATGCTTCTATTTCGGTCTATACATCCATTTGTCTGTCTGTCTAGCCACTCTTTCTTATCCCTTGAGCATTTCCTTATATTTTTGGCACTCATCTTGTGCCTTTTCTGACCTAATTGGTAGCTGACATTTTCAGGCTGCCACAGTTTAGTGTGCTCTCCATGGCAGAGGCATCGTGTTTGGGGGTCATCTCAGCAGACAGAACTGGAGAGAGCTGTGTTACCACACACATGTCTGTTCACCCAGGGACACATGTCTGTTGTATATACAAGACTACACATATCGGTACACTGTGTATTAAAATCCATGATTTCTCATTGATATTCTATCCCTATGACGAAGTTCATTCTAGCTCCACCCCCCCACCCACAATTTTTTGACTTCCTTCTTTGAGAGTAAACAATCTGCTTTAATCTTTCATTAATTACCTTGTATTTATAGCTTGTATTTTTAATTATGTATTTACTGAATAGCTATGGTTGGTATTTTCAGCTTTCAAATGCTTAACATACATTATATAACAAATTTGAAATTAACTGGAAATATCATGTTGTTTATATTTTATTGGTATCAACATTTCATATTTACATCAAAAAGAAAAGCTTTATTCTGTTTTCCCTTTTCATAAACTACACATTGATAAATGTTTAGACAGATATCAATAAAGATGTTAAGTTTGAAGAACAGAATTTTAAGTCATGTAGCTTTTTGAAAATTGTCTTTGCCAGAATTATTACTGCATTTAAAGTTTAATGTAGCCATTAAAAACCATTAAGTGTATGGAATGAAGGTGGTCTCCTAGGCTCCTGGGGTTACATGTGTGACAGATGGCAGTGATGTAGCAATGACAGGACTTAGGAATAAAAACTGACTTTGAAACACATACTGCCAAACACTACTTTTTGACTTTATTTTTTAAAGTATATTCTTTATATCCAAATTGTTTGACTAATCCTTGCAGGGTCTTTTCTTCTATCCTTTTTGTTTGATCAGTTTTGCTCACAAGTTGATAGTGTAACATTATGTTATAGAGGAACAGAAACCGCACGTGGCCACGTAATGTCCCTCTGGAGGATTTCTAGGCTGTGAGATCATCATCATGTAAATTTTGCACACAAACTGCCGGTGTATGGTGACTTTTAGTTGCTTATTCAGCACAAAACGATAACCTCAGTTGCTGACAACAACAGAATAATTTCAACACTGTCATGAAATATAAATTTTAGACAATTGAATTTAAAATACATTTGCACCATTTTAGGCTAAAGTACAAGAACCATAAGGGAATTGTCTCAGAATGAGCTTATAGCAGAAGGTATTTTAACACAATTTATTTTTGTCTCAGAAATTATTAAAGCTACTTCACACTGATAATTCTTTTAGGAAACTCTGCATACAGAACTATTTTCCACTTTTGCCACAAAGGACAAATTAAGGTTTATCCAAGTTTTTAAATATTAATGTGCATCATTTTTTTTTTTTTAGTGAATTTCTGAATATGGCACAGTAGTAATATGAAGCCCTGCAAATTAATATTAAAAGATATCATGGTAAAAGCATGCACTATTTGTGTAGTTACATATCACCATCATCTCTGGTGTCCTTTATTGTTAATGCTATTTTCTTTTATTTCTTGCAGTTCTACACTTTGTCATTCATTTCTGTAATTCTCACACCTTGTGTTGCCATGGTTAATTCTTCAAACTTCAAGGGAAATGATGTTGACTTATTTAAATATTCCTTATGAAGAACATAGTTTTATGTAGAAGTCTATTCAGTAAAATATCAGGTTCTTAGAAACCTACTTACTTAATTTTATGTGTGTACTTTATGTGAATCGTTAACTTTTTCAAAGCAAATCATCATAAGCAGCAAGAAGTGTGCTCTAGAATAGTACATATTTTGACCCAAATCATTGAGTCATTGACTTAACTTTACATATATCAGTGAACCAGATCCCATTGTTTCATTTTATACTGGAGAGGTCTCACAAACTGGGGTGTGTGGGTACACAGCTCTTCTCATCCAAGGGTTTTGAAAGGGTGACCTTGATCAGTCTTCTCTCTTTTGAAACTGTATCAGGATCAGAGAAAGAGTTGTAACCAAGAAGTGCTGAAGGTAGAAGCTCAGCTATGTGATTGCATTGGTGTTGGCAAAAGGATATGTGTGAGTGAGTGATGGCTGGCACAGCAAAAATGAGCTGCCAGAGACTATTGAGACTGCATGTAGAGAATCTAGAATTTATCAAGGGACTGGATGGTTGGGCACAATCAGGTGTGAGGTTTCTGTTTTAAAGGTGGGGCATTGTCCTGTAACACAGAGATGCATAGAAGTGAATGCAACTTGAGTGCATATGAATTAAATTGTGTGTAACTGTTACACCACGGAATGTCCCATTTAGTGTTCATAAAGTACTAAAATTGAAAATGATCCTTAGAAGCTTAAAAGGGTGATTTTTGACAAATGAACAAGCGTATTTTTAAAAACAATATAGAGCTGTATTTTTATTACTAATGACTGGTTATAGGAATAGAAGGACACTGTTTTTTTAGTGCTTTCTATGTGTTAGGTATTTAAAATACACCATGTCCTTTAATTCTCAGATCAATTCTGAGAGCTTAGTAATATTTTTCATCTAAATTTAGAAGATGAAGACCTTAAGCCTAGAGAGGTTAAATAAATTACCCACGGTCATATAGCTAGTGATTATAGAGGTACATTTTTGAAATAAGCTAAGTGAGTCTAAGTTCTTGTGCTCTTTGAAACTCATTTAGTTAAGTAATTCACTAATTAGAAATGGAAAGAAGCCTAAGAATCTGTTAGCTAAACAGCTGGACCCAGACGGGACTTCTGGATAGACCAAGACTTCATAGTTTCCTATGTGGAAGACAGAGAAGCACAACCAAGATTCAGACATCACCAAACTAAAAACCAACCCCAGAAAGCTGACTGTAGTGCGGAGGGCCCCCGAGGGTGAGGCAGGGTGGAGGGATACAGTGCGCCACAGTGGCACGTGTGGTTTCAGCATCACCTGAAGACGCGGGGTGCAGTGTTCCTGAATCACCTAAGTGCTGTAAAACAATCTTACCTTAATAATAAAAAAAATTGAGTGGGTCTACTTCCCTTTAATTAAAGAACCTTATCCAATACCCCCAGCTTTCAAATGGCAAGAGGAAAATGCTTTTTATAAAACTAAGATAATCATAGTCCCTGAAGTCAAAGCACATGTTTGTGATGGAAAATATTCACGAAGATTTTGGTTTTGCCTTACAGCTTGTACATGCAGTGGCCATGCCAATATTTGCCATATGCACACAGGAAAATGTTTCTGCACGACTAAAGGAATAAAAGGTGATCAGTGCCAATTGTAAGTAAAGATGACTCTAGAGCTTCTGTGGGTTACTTTAAAACAGAGCCCATGTGGTATGTTTGTCTGTTGTAGTGCTCTAGAAGAACTGTTTTTGTATATTCCTGGAAAACACATTTTATATCAAATCTGTCTCTTTATAATTTTCCTCTGTTCCTGTTAAATAACTCAAATCCAACATTTCTCTGCTTTTGTTTGGATCTGTACTGACCCTGGCTCTCTTCTCCCATGTACACCCTGCCCCTCACAAATTAGGAAGCAGGCCTTGGCCAGATGCAAAAGATATTTTGTTCTGAGTTTCCATCATCACTATGAGCATTGACAGTTTTAAGTTTTAGTGCCCTTTTTCATAAATAATTTAACTGTTCTCTTATATGATTCAGTGCCTACTTTTGTTTCCAGATAATAGAGAGCAGGATTTTAATTCATTGAACTTGTAGACTTTTAGGTAGACAGAGATATTCCTCCTAAAAACAAATTGATTAAACTGTTATCCATTTAAAATCGTTGTAATAATGTTTCAGTATTGTAGCAATTAATGCAACCCCCTTTTTAGAAAAATTATAGTGCACCATAAACTGTATATGAAGATCTATTTAAATATTTAATTCAACAGGCACAAAAGGAAATTCCATATTTAATTTATTATAAATGTGAAATTATATTTTATTTTTAATATGATATAATGGAGTGTGATCATTTACATAAATGGCAACCATTATTTAGGTAGGTGACATGTAATGACAATATTTACTTTTCAAAGTGCCTAATAAATATTTCAACCTAAGTCTGTTTTCAAAAAAGCTTTGGCTGTTTGCTTAGTGGGAATAGAGAATGATTATTTCTTTGCTTTGACACAGAAATACTTTGAAGTTATGTTTTTTAATTAAGCCATGCTGAAGACTTCTGAAGGCATTTAATGATTGTATCTAATCTTTATACAGGAAGATTCTGAATTTTAAAACGATTATTTAGCTTAAATGTTAGAAATACTAATCTCATTTTTATTACTGTAATTTTTAAAATGCAACATTAGTTAAAAAAATATTCATAGCTACACTTTTCCTTTTATATGTTCTTTACCTCTTATCACCTGAATTTGGACTTGATCAAGTAACTTTTCAAGTTATTCATTGTGTGAATTATATTAGTGGTTTATGTTTAGTTTCCAAATATATATATATTGAACTTTTCCTTATTTTATAAGGGAGTTTATGCATAGCTAAAATATTATGATGGACAGACCCTAAAGATACTATCAGTGGTCTTTTTCTGTTGTATCATTTCCTTTCTTGAATGTGGATAAGACCTGTCAGTTGCTTTTAAACACAAACTATGACAAAAGTGATAGGATATATTGCTTCTACAATTGTGTTACATTATTTGGTAAAGATGATCATTTTAATGTGGGTCTTGCTAGCTTTGACGAAATAAGTGAAACTTTAATTCCTGGAGGCAGCCTCCAGCTAGCATTTAGTAAGAAGCCAGTGCCTCTAATTCCATCGTTTCAAAATAAATTCTGTGAACAGCCTGAGGGAACATAGAAGCAGGTACATCCCCAGTCACGCCTCTGATGAGAACCAGCCCTAACTCACACCTGCATGGCTAGCTTATAGTGAACCCCACTTGACACAGGGCAGCAGCAATGAGTAATTTTTAAATCTAGGGAGTTAGTGTATTTTACACATCTTAAAAGTAGCATTTGAAGAAATTACTGAAAACCTAATCTCCAGAGGTCCTTTGTTTCAGAGAATAGCATTAGTCATACAAAGGCCAATCATATTTCTGCTTTCCTGTCGTAGGTAGTGTAGAAAAAGTTTACACTTCAAATCATCTTTTTCCCCATGCATACAAAACCTAGCAAGCACATTGCAGACAAATACATTCAGAACTTAACCTGATTATTAACTTATTGTTCTCAATTTTCTCACCCTTCATTATTTAAAGTGACATGTCTTTTTTTTAAAGATTTATTTATTTAAATTTGCAGAACTGGGGTACAGGCTAGAGGTGCAGGGACAGTGAGAGGATTCACCAGAGGCAGAGCGGGGAGCAGAACAGGCAGGTTGATGAAGTATAGTGCTGAGGGGAGCAGCGGGCGGGTCAGGAGAGGTCTGCTGCTCCATGTGGGTCACCGCTGGGGCTGGGGATGGAAGTTGCACTGAAGCAGCAGTGGCTAGCTTGCTGGGCTTTAACTGGCTGCACCACCAGGGAGGGCCCTAAAGTGACATGTCTTAAAATTATTTTTGTTCTAATTGATTACACTAAAACAACTATAAACATTTGGAAACATTTTTCACCCTTAACATTTTATTTTAAACTTTTGAATATAAGTCACTTTATTCAGTCACCCTGACATATTCATTTTATAACATTTCATTTTGGAGAGTGTTTCAAGAAGTAGCAGTGTGCAAAAACAAGCTATGTCTCTGTTAAAGATTATTTGTCATTTCAGTTTAATTCTGGAATTGAACAAGGATTGAAAAGTACAAACTTCAGAAATGCTGAAAATACATACGATTTCCTCTCTGCTATTCTTAGTCATGTTTTTAATGCATTTAACTTAAAATTCACGGTTTGTGCTTTTTTGTTTTAATTTTTGTAACCATTGACGTGAATTTAGAGTTTGAACTTCTGAATTATGGTTGGACAATTTAGAGAAATCTTTTTTTTCCATTTCACAATTTGGGAGGTATTTTTTTTAATATAAATTTATTGGTATAGAAGCTGGGAAAGGATATATTAATGAATTCCAGAAGTAAGAGAATAGTGTGGATTAATATTTTCACCACTTTCTCTATCTAAAAGTGTTTTTGTGTCGTTATACAGAATTTCATTTCCTCCTCATAACTTAGGGAAAAATATGGATCCCAAAACTTATAATCTTATTCCAGCTGCCTCGTCCTTCCCTTGTGTTCTTGGTTCCTCCACTCATTTCTCCCTCAGGCTCATTTATAACTAATTTATAAGCTTTTACAATTAATTCTTTTGAAGAGTTATTTTTAAAACTTCAATTAACGACATAGATTTTAAGTTATTTTACCATAGACTATAATTACCTTTTTCTCTTAAAGAAAACCAGGAGACATTAGAATTTTGTTGTTTGAGTAAATGAGTTTTTTATATTTCTGCAGATGTGACTCTGAAAATCGCTATGTTGGTAATCCACTTAGAGGAACATGTTATTGTAAGTATTGGTATTTTTTCTTTTGAAAAATTTCGTTTGTATTATTAGTTTCATATATTATTATTAGTTTCATATATTATTATTATTTGACATATATAACTGATAATGTCAGCATATCATCGTTTCTACTCATTTGTAATACAGCTCAGGAAGGCAATGTCTTTGCTGTATTCTTACTTGTATTTGGTACATTTTTTCCTGCTTGAAAAGTGAAATCACAATATAGCTTATTCTAAACTTGGGACAAAATACTAGAACTTGACAAAGTTCAACTAAATTGTACTGCAGAATTTTCATAAATTTTGAAGAAATAACATTTCGTGAGATTTTTGCAGGTGACAATTTTGGTCATTACTAAAAATTTATAATGGTTTTGTATAGAAAAACACTTGGTTAGTAAATGGCCACATGTTAGATGTGTAAGTTATTAAGACATAAACAGATTATTTCATTCGAATAGTTTTATGCTGTTTCCAGCACTGTTTGAGAGTTTTAGTAGTTTGGTGTCTTTCAATACTTTGTACTATTAGCCATTTTTACTTTTAATTATTTTAAGTGTGTAAAAGTAGGTCGTTCTCCTTTTATTTGCATTTCCCTACTGACTGAAGACTTTAAACATCTTTTCATGTGAATATCTGCCTTATGCATATTTTATTTAATGAAGTGTGTTTACATGTTACCCAGGTTTTATTAGATTGTTATTATAAAACTGAGTTTTCAGGGCACTTTATGTATTAAAGATGCAAACTCTATCTGATATTTGATTTGCAAATATTTTTTTCTAGTTTGTGACTTGTTTTTTCATTCTTAAGAGCAGCATTTTTTTTTTAATTTTTAAATTTAGATAAATATCAATCTTTGACCATTAAGTATGATGTAGGTTTATCCTAGATGCCTTGTATGAGGTTGAGAAATTTCCCCTATTTTGTTTGGCTGAATATTTTTTATCAGGAATAAGTGTTTATATATGTATACACATACACACATTGTGTGTGTGTGTGTAGTTTGTATTAATGGAGATGATCATTAGGTGTTTCTATATTTTTGTTTTTATTCATTCACCAGTTGGTAGACATTGGGGTTATTTCTAGGTTTTGACTACAATGGAAAATGCTGTTAATGAATGTCTAGATGGTATTTGTTTGGACATACATTATGTTTTCATTTCTTTGCTGTGGATTCCTGGAAATGGAATTGCCAGCTGATGTGCTAAGTTTATGTTTAACTTTTCTTCAAACTGCCACATAGTCATATGGCATGGGTATGCCATGTTTTAGGCTTCGACACTTCGTCTTGTCTCTTTCTTGACTATATCTATCATAGATGTTTGTGGGTCATAGAGTGTGGAAGTGTCTGGTGGTTTTAATTTGCATTTCTCTTAAGACTGTTAATGCTGAATTTGATTTCACATGTTCATATCTTGAACATATATTGTTAGCTGTATAAAATGTATACTGTTTCATAATAATTTTGTTGTTCTTTTAAATTTACATCCTATTTGTTTGGTATATACAATTATAACTTACATCAAAACATTGATCTATATTCACTAGGTTCAGTGAACTCAGTTATTAGTCCTAATTGTTTATAGATTAGTTATTTTTAAATGTAGTTAACTTTATTATTTGTAAATAAGGGTAGATTTTCTTCTCTCATTCCAAGACTCAGGCCCTTGAAATGGGTGGGATCTCTGTTTCAGTGCAAAGTCAAAATGATGATAGTACACCTTACCATTAAGTAATGTTTGCTTTAATTTATGAAATATTTCCTGTAGCAAGTCAAGAAAATTCCTGTTCATATCAGTGTACTACCAGATTTCATGGTAAATGATTTTTTTTCTTTAGGTTGTTAAATATGAGTTTAAATTCATGGATTTTCTAGTGTGAAATGGTTTTCCATTCTGGGGAAAACCAAATATAACCATGATATATTATTATTGCTGTTAAGTACTTCTGTGTGTGCTTTATTTAGATTTATTCTTTGTATACATTAATACAGACTACCTTCTTTGTAACAAAATAACTAGTTTTTAGATTTTCTTTTTTGTCATAATGTGTAAAATTATTGTGATAGCTTGAAAAATGAATCTGAAAAGATTTCTTTTGTCTTTTAAAGCAGGAATAGCTGAAACTATTAACCTATCTTCAAAGATTGGCTAAATTCAACCAAAATCTCTTGGACTGGTACTTTTTTATTGCTTGTTTTTCTTTTTTTGTCCATTTTTTTTATTTCTACATAAATAAATCACTTAAAATGTTTTTGAGAATGTGATATTTAAAACCCCTAATCTTTTTTAGTCTTACTGCATTTTGTTCCCTATAAAACATGGTATATTTAGGGGCCACTAGTGAGTAGGGGCTGAGGTGCTGCCCCCTATTGACCATGCATGTGCAAGACAGCCTGTCGGCATTGGGATTGTCTCCGAAACTAGGTTTCAACCCTGCTGAGCTTGAGGAACCCTGAGGTAGCACTTAATGAGACTCAGATTTCATTTCGGGAGTCGCACTTTTTCATAGGCAGCCTTGTGTGCTTGATCTAGAAGCAGCACATAGTGTTTGTTCTTAGCAAACATAATGCTCATTGTCTTGATTGTAAATGATTAGGAATTGCAAAGCTGTGATATTCCTTCTTTAATTTTTGATTGGAAATCTGTAAAAACAGATGTCCTCTCTTAGATATTTGCTCACTCATTGCTGCAGTTTATATAGGAAGGCATGCTATATGCAAGTCTTTTTATTTAACCATTTCAAAACAGAATTATTTGCTCAAAAGGTGACAATTAGGCTTTTGCTGTCTGTGTCATATATGTATGAACTCATGTATATTTAACAAGCGTAAATCCACATGTGATCATTACCCTATGGATGCTAAAATTGTGTATTTTCTGTGTCTTTTAAATTAACTTTATTTTCTATATATCCAAATTTATTTTGTTTTTCTTTCCCAAACACCTGGTGATGGGAACATCTTTTGTTTGGTATTTTAAAATTAGAAATTCCTCTTTGATTCTGTTTGAATCATTCATTTTCATTATATTCCAAAAGAGGAAATAGTTATAATTATGGGGACTTAAAAATTATACTCCACATTCAGATATAAAATATATGTTAATTTTTAAAACTCTCATGTTTAATTCTAAGATCATTTTCTTCTAGGTCAGAGCTATTCAATATAAATATGTGTGGCACATATATAATTTAAAAGTTTTCAATAGTTATGTTAAAAAGTAAGAGGAAGCAGGTGGTATTAATTTTAATAATATGCTCACTTAGCCCATCTAAAATGACATTTGACTTGTAAAAAATAACAAAAACATCAAAAAGATGTTTGTATTTTTTAGGTTTTCTTCAAGTGAACTATTAAAAATAGAGTATTTACTTTGTACTTATAGCTCTCTGAAGTCAAATCAGTAACAGTTCATTACTCAGTAGCCGCAGGTGGAAGTGGTTACCACATTTGACAGCTCATGGAGGTTACACCTGCTCCCCCCTTTAAAAGATGTAGTGGAACCGATAAAGACCACTAGGTGGCAGTCTTGTCCTTTGGTAAGAGAGGAAGACCTGAAGCATGTTAGAAATGGTGTCTTAACAAAAGGAAAAAGGTCAGTAGTTCTTGCAACAGTGTTAGTGGAAACTATTTTGATTTTAAAGATTAGAGTGGAATTTTCAGTGCAGGTCCGCACGGTAACAGTGCAGTCGAATACAATGTGGTGTTCACTTCATTGCCAGTAACGTGCCAGCTCAGTGTCTGTCCTCCGCTGTCTCTGTGGTGCTTCACATTTCACTTTGACACAAAAAACCAAATGTATTTGAAAACTGTCATGCTGCATAGAAAAAAAAAAGGTGCTAGCAATGATATCTAATTGCACTAATCCTTGCAAACAGTGAATTGCTCAATTTATTCTCAGAAAATATAAATAGAAGTCACAAAGTTGTATACTTTCCTTAAATACTTTTTTCTTTTTTGTAAGAATAACATTGTGTAATGAAGAAAACCTTGAATATAAAATGGAAGACTGGGCTATGAAAATGTTATATAGATGCTATATTCAGTGAGTAGAATGTCATTTTCTGCTGTCAGCTATTTTGTGCTATTTCTCCATTACTTCTTTTAAGTAATACACCATGAGCTGCTAATTATCACATTTTAATACACTTCCAAGTAACAGTTCCAATATAGTAGTAAAATATAAAATATTTTGGCTTATTTTCCCTTTTACTCTATAAGAATTAGTTTTTTTTTCAATTTTTTTCTATTGCTATTTATAGTTCAGGATGGAATTTTGTGATGATAATAACATACTTCCTCTTTTGAGAATATATAATTTCTGCTTTTTATATTCTGTGCATATATTTTTGCCATTCATGACGCATTATGTTACTTTATATTATAAAAAGTGAAATATTTATCCATTTATCTCACTTTTTTAGGAGTTTACTTTCCTTAAAATAATTAATCATTATTAATATATTGAATGTTTAGACTTACAGAAATTTATGAGCATTATTTTCATTGGATTTGATTTTTTCTTTTGATAAATAGTATTTTTAATAAATGTTAAATAGCAATCTTTTTTACTTTCATCAGAATTTAATTATTTAAAATGCTACATTATGCAAGAACAATGAAAGTGATTAAAATTTAAATTAACTTTATACTTAGCGGAATTATATTATGATTCATCTAAAATGGAATAAACTTATTTTCCTGTTGCAAAGTAAACCTTTTGTATTTTGTTAGTTCCTGTTTTATATGACTTTTAAACTACTGAATATAAATAGCTGTTTAAATAGGATTTGGCTGGTCCATCTGCAATTAGAGCAGGAGTGACCTTGATGAACAGAGAGCCTCTAAATTCTTATAATTCCAAGACTGAAGCCATGATGGACGGAGATTTATCTGACTAAACATAAATAAGCCAGGTGACTGGCATTTCAACCTTACTTTTTGATTCATCAGTGTTGTTATTCATTCTCCTGACTTTTACTTTCAGGTGTTCC